AGAAGGTCGGCTAAACACTAAGCGTCAATATATTATTATTATTATTATTATTATGCGAATTTCAAAACTTCGTTAAAAAGTTAAACTCTACTTTTTACGTATGGAAAACAAAAGCTAGAATAAATTAAAACAAAAAACCAAAATAGCTTCCTGGTTCTGTTTATTAAAATTGTTTATACATTGACGTTTTTTACAAGCAAATGACGTTTTTTGAGAACCAAAGTGACGATTTCCCTCTTCAATGACCTGGCAACACTGCAAATGAGGTCAACAACTCAAATACAAATTGTTAGCATGTTGGATGAATGTATGTATGTACCGAAAGGTAGTTGCTTTTGTGGTAACTACATATGTATGACGTGTTGCATGCTACATGTTGCACATTGCATGTCGTCTACATATCTGCTACCTACATACATACTATGGAGTTGTATTGTCATTCGATTGCCTATGGCAAGTTAGTAGTAGCGGAGAATCCCTTTTGTTTATTTGCTATAGAACATTGCTTGTTGCTGTTACTGTTGTTGGTGCTGTTTTTGTCAACGTTGCCACTGATAGTTAGACATTGCTGGCTGTTTAGCTGCTTTGATAGATTCATTACAGGCATGTTTGCCTACGCTGCGCTTCGCCTGCGGTCTATTTGACGAAATCTCGCTTTGTTGTTGTTCGTCGCTATGACGAGGTCGGGCGAGCTGACTAATGGGAGCAAAGAGCAGACGAAGCAGGAAGATGAGGAGTGATAGAAAGCGCACTCCCAAAGCAATCTTAGCGCTAGCGGTTTTCCTACACTTTTCGTTCCTGCCACTTATGCGGTTGAATAGTCAACATACATAAGTAGTACACGTACACATACATACATATGTATACATACCAGCAAACATGCATGCTTTCATAAAAGTTTTCGAGCTCCCTACTCCATAAAACTTAGTATTTACGCTGCTAGCCTCGAGTCCTAACCTCCTATCTTCGTCGTTAATACCTCAACCAACATCAGGCTGTGCGGCGGTGGTGGTGGTGGTGGTGTTGTCGGTCGTCGTAGCAATGCTTTGTATGTAGTGACCAACAACCGCAGCAAGCAAAAGGCGGAAGTATATTTCCCATACGTAATTTCTGCTAATTTGCATTTAGATTGTGGCACTGTTCCAGTTCTACTAAATTTTCATACTTCTCCTTCTCCTCTATTTACAGCTACATGCGCTTGCTAGCAACTCCACTTTACTTCAACTTCTATTAGCGCCAACGCGCGCGTGAGTTGCTCCATTTCTCTGTTAATTTAACGTTGCAGCGCGCCTAGAAGTATGCACATAGATATGTATGTGAGCGCTTGTATACATCTATGAGGTACACTCGTATACTTCCTTGTATAAATTGGGGCGCTGTAGCGCTTGATTACGCCGGCTCCTCGTTTATTTATGAGACTGAACTGTGGTAACCAAGCAATGAATGCAAAAAAGGGGCATAATAAGGATGTAGAGGCAAGCGCGTTGTTTGGCTAATAAATACAAACATATACATATATTTATACAGTTGCAATTAGAATCTGCACATACATACATATGTATGTGTAAATATATTAGCAAGCACATTTAAATTTAAATTAACATGAATGCTAAAAGGCGTCGGAAATTAAAGGACGAAAATATGTGAATAGGTTTCTAGCAAAAATAAAAAGCTGGCCTCTAACTGTGAACATAAAAAAGTAAAATTTGCTTATCACAAAAAAATTGCAATTCTTTCTTTAGGCGTTTACAGAAAGCAAAGCTAAGACCCAAAAAGTCCCGAAATACCCAAAAAATTGCGGAAAAGCTCCATAAAATATCGAAATCGCGATTTATTTAATTTTAGTGAATGCAAAAAAAAAATCAAAAGCGAAAATAAATTTACTTTCCTGAAATTATATTTAAAAATTTTTGTTGAGCTTAAGGCCTTTATCCGCTTATTTAGTCAAAATGACATTTAGAGTGTTAAAATTTTCTACAGACCTACTAAACAGAGAGTTTGAACAAGCGGTCATCGCAGAAACTAAAAATTTCATATAAATTTATAACAAGAAAATTCCCAACTTTCGATTAAGCCGTATAACACACTCATTAGCGCACACAAGAGGTGCGTTTTAGGGTTTGAATGAATGTGACTAGTGGTAAACTGAAAATAACTCTATTTTACCCTTGTGCAGTCAAAGGTGCATTTTATCCAAAATACTTAATCTTCACGAACGATGTTTTTGTGTTGTAAAATATGAATTATACGCGTTTGTTTTAAATAAAAACTAGGTTTATAAAATCTTCATAAAAAAAAAAAATATTTTAAGGTGTGACTCGTGGGACACCTCCTTGTGACTGGTGTAAAGTAATTATGCATGAAATAAAAGTTTACAACTTCTTTTTATTTTTTTAATATTTTTCCACAGGTTAATGAAATGAAGTCATTTAGAAGAGGTTACTACTGAAATATTAAAACAATTAGGCAATCGTAAAAAATGGAAAACCAGAAACCATAAATCGAGAAAAATTAACATTAAAACTCTTTTTTAACATTTTTTATTGCTTTTTAATAGAGGGCTGCATGAATTCATTCAAACTTCTATCCAAACAGAGTACAATAGATTTGAATATTTTACTTCACATACAAAACACTCAGCGTTTGGAATTTTGTAAGCTATAATATACATTTTGTTTTATATTTTCTACCTTCAAATGGAAGAATGTGAATGAATGAATAGAAAACATTCAAATCATTCAAACTCATTTCGGTAAAAGTTTTTTTCTACAAACAAGTTTTTTCGTATATAATAGGAGCGCAGCAATACATACATACATACATATGTATGTTTGCACATATGTGCATAGAAAAAATATTTTTGGATATTCATACAAAAAATTGTCATTTATTTCAATTAAATTTATTTTCACTTTGTTTGAATATTGTATTGTCGACACAAACATCAGAACAGCTATTCACTCAAATCCAAAAAAATTTGAAGCCAAAATCATTCATTCGTTTTGTATATGAATAATTCATAAGCTGTGTTGAATGCATTCATGCAGCCCTCTACTTTTTAAAGTTGAGCGCATCTTGTGTTTATAGAAGTTTTTATTAAACAAGTCATTTTTAAGCAAGAAACACAACCGACTTCAATTCTCATATACAAATTTAAGAGTACCGTTAATTTTTTCATGATCCAATGATCGGATGTAAAACAAATTACGGGACGACCCATAAGATACCATCTTTCCGATAAAGAAGGAATTATTGAAATCGGTTAACGTGGTCCAAAGTTATGCGGTGGCATACATAAAAGAAGAAAAAATACAGTACCACAGTGAGGTGTTGAGTTCTTATGCAGAACATGGTGCATGATGAATGACTCTAATTTAATTGTATTCAGCTTAATCCATAGGTTGGGCGATCCCGGGATCTATCGCATATAAGGCCTTATGCTCGGTATGGAGGCCAGAAACCCAGCAACAACGAACGGATTGGGTTTAATCCGGTTATTGGCCGGATGCCAAATCTTGGAAAATACTCGAGGGGGAAGGATCGGCATTCACCACCGTTTTGTAAATTTTAAATTCGATTTTGAATTTTGTATGCTGTGTAAAATGACGAAGAGCAAAACCACCGGCTCCGTAAGAATTATAAAAGACCGCTCCGAGCCGTTCGATACCAAACGAGGCTTCGCGAAAGACGACTCTTTATAGTTCGACATCTAAAATATAATACCATTTGAGAAGAAAATAAAAGCCAGAGAACTAAACCGCTCAGGAACAATTGCTGGCGTATCAATTTCATCGGTCCAAAAACCCGATCTGTTTTTTCTGCCTTTTCTATGTTGGATATGGAAGCAAAGCGAATGGGTCAATAGAAGAAGTAATTGAAGGATACGAGTATGTGGCGCAGGAGTTTGAAATCTCTAATGGACGGTTCTGGGGTTAAGTTTCGAATGCTTTGCCTCTTAAAAAAAATAAAAATAAACCCATGTGCACTATATATGTACATATGTATATAGCCAGGGGCGCACCCAGGAATATATTTTAGGGGGGGTTTTATATTTCTGAAGATATATCACCGGAAAATACTGAAAATTTGCTTGATAATACGCTCTTTAAAATACATTTATGCAAGTTTTATGTACAGTATGTAATAAATAATAAACGTTTTAAAATTCATAAACTGCACTTTATTTACATAAGATTAACAGAACTCAAACACTTTTAACCGACTTCAAAAAAGGGGAGGTTATCAATTCGCCGGAATATATAACTTTTTTACCACGTGAACCGATTTCAATAATCCTTTTTTTATTGGAAAGATGGTACCTCAAGGGTCGTCCCGTAATTTGGTTTAGAGATCCGATGATTGGATCATGAAGAAATTAACGGTACCCCTAAATTTGTATATGAGAATTGAAGTCGGTTGTGTTCTTTCCTTAAAAACTACTTATTTAATAAAAAGTTCTATAAACTCAAGATGCGCTCAACTTTCAAAAGTACGTAATAAAAAATTTTAAAAGAGTCAGTAAAAATAAATTTATTGATTCCATGAATTTTTGCACTTTTATGTTCATTTTTTCGATTTCTGGTTTCTGGTTTTCGATAGATGGTAATTTTTCACGATTGCTAAATTTTTTTAATATTTCGAGTTCCGAAAAAATTAACTGAACTCTCAAGAAAAACAAAAAATTCATATAAAACGATGGACGAGAAACGGAAAAGAAATTTTCTTCTACCAAATTTTCATAAATCAGTTTGCAGCTCTCAAGAAAAAAATGCTCGTATATTTATTTCCACATGAAAATTTACAGCAAAAGCAAAGCGCCTTTTCAAGCAACAGAATTTATAATAAATATTTCTTATAATTTCCTTGAGAGCTGGATTCTTAGCTTTAAGATACAGTTTGTATTTGAGGTTATTAGCTTTAGGGGTGGTTTGAACCCCAAAACCCACCCCTTTTATGCGCTAATGTATATAGCGAAGAATAACACCAAAAATTGCTTGAGTGCGTTAATCGATATTTATTAAACTTGCATAAAATGACTTCTTAGTATAATAAAATATTTACTTTTTCAATTTGGAGCAGATTTTTATGTCAGAGGGAAAAGCTTTAAAGACCGAAACCAAAACATCTACAGCGGTCTTAGTGCAATCTGCATAGACACCTGGGGTGGATGGCACTTTCTTCGCTAATGAAACTGTTTTGGCGACCTGTTTCTTTAGTGTAATCAATTTATTCAACAATTTGGAAAAGCATTTGGATGGTGTCTTCTTATTGCCGACTGCTTCATCATCTACGGCCTCATTGTTGCAAACTTTGCTATTCAAATTGATGATCTCATCGCAGGTTGTAACGACTGCTTGGACTTGTTTTATAAGCGCCGTTACGCTCTTTACAGCGCCGACATTGCAATTGTTAATGTCGCTCAAAAAGTCTACCGCCGCAGCTTGAATGCTGAGTACTTCTTTGATGGTACAATTAACGCCTTTCAGAGTACGCAAGCACGCTTTGAGTGTAAAGTAAAAGAAACCAAAAATACTGAATGCTTCCTCTTCGGCGAGTGCATCAGCATAGTCCAAAGGAGTGAATTCCTGGAGCTCCTCACTGTCGAAAGCAGAATCAATGTTGGCCTAAGAATAAAGAGTAAAAGAAAAATGATGTCTAAGGATTTCAGCGCAAGCTTCTGAGTTTTTATACTCACCGAGGCGACTGCTAGGCTCAGCCCAAAGATAAACGCGAGCACAGCTACTTTCATTTTAATACTTCTACTGGTTAGTCTGCTTTGTTATGGCTGACAGTGGCACGCTACACGCTTTTATACCAAATGAAAGTTCTAGGCTACTGGTGCTAAACAAACCACAATTTAAAGATTACGTTCGGTATAATTGTGTACTGATAACATTAATTTTTATCAATATAATTAATTAGTTGGGTCTTAAGAGAAGCTACTCAAGTTCAACCGTTAATATTTGGTATAAGAAGGCATGTGTTTTTATCAAAAAGATTATTAACCTCCATTTAAGTAGTTAAAAGCCAGCTGAAAAAGCCCTGCATTAGGTCGCAAAGTGAAGGTGCTGGCATAAAAAAATTAGCTTGCCAGACAAAAGAAAGTGGGTCAATGTGCCAAATAGTCCACGGTGCGGGGATTCATGTTCACTTAAGATAATGGGCCATCAGTAGGCTTTTTGATATCTAGAGGAATTTGGAGAGAATAAAAAATGTTTTTCGCAATGAAAGCTTTGGGTTTATTTTTAATTCTAATAAATATTCACGTATGAAAGTACATAAGTACCCAGTGGGAAAATGCAATGTATCAAAAAAAATAATCAGTTAAACGACCCTTTTCACATTCGAGAAGTGGGTCATTAAATTTTGCATTACCTAGTATCGAGAAATGAATGTGATTTAATATGAAATGTTTGGGACTTTTTGGATACATTAGAATGCGGATTATATAGTTGACAGTAATAGAATCGAGAACTGATAAGAAATACATTACACTATTTATCACGCATGTAATACATTACTACCTTTCCGACTGGGTACGTTAGTATGTTCTAAAGACTCAAATTTAGACCAGTTAGAAAAAATACTAGTTCATTAACTAGTATGTGCCTACCAGTTCGACAATTTCGAAGAACTTAGGCGATCAGCGACATCTGCCTTTGAATTGCCAAAGCCAAAAATAAAACGCAATTAATTGCTTTTCTTACAAATGTCGGCTGTGGCGTCACGTGAAGACTACTGGTTCTGGTTCTGAAATCGCAGGTTCGAGGCCGCTTGGAGGTGGTTAAGATTTTTAAAGTTAAATAAATGTAAGTAAAAATAATTTATTCAATTTATAAATAAATAACAAATTTGAAAATCTAATTGCATTGCAAAAAAACATTTAGGAAGAAATGCTTGTGCTATAAAAACAAAGAAATTAAACAAAAATATTTTTTTTATTAAATTTAAAAATTACAATAAACAGCCTAAACAAAAAAATTTATAAAAAATGAAAATAAAATAAAAAATAGAAAATAAAAAAATTTTTCCTGCGCCAGGATTTGAACCTGGGACCTCAGGCTTACCAGACGAGTGCTTTACTCTGTCGGCCATTGTGACTGCTGGAGCGTCGCGAGCAAAAAGGCACACTTTTGCTTTTCACGGGGCATGAATTGGCAGACTATCTCATCAACTGGTATGATGCTACTAGTATTTATACTAGTAGATGCTGATGCATAGCCTGACAATTGACATCTCGTAGGACATCGCAATGTTAAAAATACCAGTCGCTAACATTGAAAAAGGATAGAACGTGAACTAGTTCGGCTGAAACGCAAACCGGTAGAATTCTAGTTCACAACTAGTAGCTTTCCCTGCAGGGTGCTCTTACTACTTCTCACTGGAATTCGTTCACTGTGCGATTGCAATCCAAGCGGTAAGGCACAAAAGCACCTCAGACCCTTATTACAGCAGTCGTATGGAGGAAAGCCTGGCGGAATGATCTCAACCACTACTACTCAGCTTCCTAGTCTTCTTTTAGTCTCAGATCTACTTCACTCAAAACGAAAACTCGAGAATAGGTACTGACCTCTGGCGGAACTCTTGCGCCAGCACGCAACATTTTTCCACCAATAAAATTTTTCTCTTTGCATTTTTTCTTGCCTTTGTTGAAGAAAACCCAAATTATCTTTGTATAATGCTAGAGGTAGTCCAATAAATGATATACTCAAAATATGGTATTTCAACTACATATACATTATTTCACAGGAGGAGCAAAAAACCATAACACAAAAGCCAAAAATAACTGGAAATGTCGCGGATCTCAAAATTTGAGTTCTTTAAAAACGAGTATATTAAACATGTTTTGGAATGTAATAGGTAGCTTTCAGATTTATCTTGTGTAGTGCGGTTTTTTTTTGCTTCAAAATTACTATTTTCAAATATTAAACCAAAAAACTAAACATTTACTGGAAGTGGAAATATCATATTCTGATTAGACAATTCTTATTCATACGTTAGACTGTACCAGAAAAAAAGTTCGCTGTAAACCCCTGAGTCCAAAGTATTTTTGGAAGGCAATTAAAAATGTATTTATTTTTCTACCCATTGTAGGGGTCGCCTTTTACATTTTAACCATACCCTCGTTATTTACAGTCTGAGCTTAAAGTATTATATATCGATGTTCTTCTTTTGGGGAGGCAATTTTTTTGTATCAAAATTCTTTGACCCCATTTCAGTACTTACCCACCAGATCTCCGATATTATCACCATAACGTACCACCAAAATCATCAAAAATCATTGAAATTTTGCTAGGAAAGTATTTCTTTTATTCCAGTAGAACTATTTTAAAAAAATTGTATTGCCGAATGTAGACGTCACCGAGAAATTTAAAGAAAAAACCCTAAGTTCGGCCAAAAATTTATCTTTTCGAAATTCACTTGCAAAAATACGTCACACTCTGTGGTGTACATATATGTACAATGTACGCAGATAAGTGTGACAATTTCCGTTAATCATGATTTAATATAATCTGATTAAACATATAATCGTAACCGTGTTTAAAAAAAAATAATTTTTAATCATTAACCCTTAATTTGATTAAGTAGGTTTGGTGATTAATCAATTTATACTGGAATTGTTTTTTGCACACAAGGTCAGTTAATCGGGTATAGCTAAGTCGGTGTCCCTCATAAATCTAAGCAATTTAGTGTGCATTTTGATTGTGATCTATTACCAACAGACGTTATGCTAAATCACTGCCTAATGAAAATGCACGCAGAAAGGACAGAATTTTCAACAAACGACTCTTGAAAAAGCTGCTTCGATGAGAAGGAAATCGAAAGCGTCGAGCACTTTCCTGCCACTGTTCGGAATTGACTGCACTCAGGCAACGTTATCTTCATAAATACTTTTCGGACAGTCCTTCAGACTGAAGCTTGTTAAAAACTTGTGATCTTCTAGGTATGTGATCGGCATCGTGTAAGGACGGTGTAATGAAGGACCCACTCTAACCGACGCACTGGGTATTATGTCGCCTTTTTCCAATAAGAGGCCTCTGTAATATTCAGTAAAAAAAAAGTAAATAATCGCGAAGAGAAAACGCCGGACATAGTGGTGTTCGGCGTATCACTTGATGAATTAAAGATTTTTGGATCATCCGATGAGACTAGTGCCATTACGCGCCTGAATTTTGAAAAATGTAGTTCCGGTACTTTAAACAAGCCAAGTCACAGAAACATTAGAAAATGAGTTCGTTTCCACATGTTTAAAACTGTCTACAGAGACAGAATACTTCCAATGGTAAGACATTTGGAAGTACATATTTATTCCAAATGCTCATCCGACTCGATCAGACAGAGACTCAACTCTTATGCAGTCAAAGTTCTGGGTTTTAAAAACTCGTGAAGCAATGTCTTTCCGACATTAATTCAAAAGACTGAGCGTATTTTGAAAAACGTTTTGTTAATGTGTCAGTAAAAGAGTCTGCATTAAGGCGAATTCAATTACTCCAAATTTCTTGCGCATTTCAAGCAGCTGGCTGCGTTTTCATTACCTTTTTGCTAGATTGAAAATAACTTCTTCTCATATTCATAAAATGCACCAAGAAAACTTATTAAGACTACTGCGAACTTAGCTTAATTGCCTTTCGCAATCAAAGCACAAAAGTATGCAACGAAAGAGATTGTGCCGAAATCGACGGAAATGAGTTTTTAATTGTCTGTGAGCGTCAAAGCGATTCACGCTATAATTCTGAGATTACCCGATATGAAATGTGCTGGGAATTTTGTGGTGTTCAAAAGTTTGAAACAAAAGATAAAGATGGCACAACTTTAGGCGCGCTAGAGTGTGAGAGAGTGCATGTGAAAATGAGGGTAGAAGGCAAATTAAAAAGTTTATAAAATACCTAATCGCATAGTAGACGATGTGAACTGCAAGAGCAAAAAGAGTTGAGTTTTGAGAAAATTAAAATAAAATTTAAGGAAAGGAGATTTGAATAGCGAGATGGGTTACACTTAACGCTAGAATGGCTGGCAGAGTTTTAGGCAGGCAAGGCAAGCACAGATACTACCTAATCCAACGCGGTACAACTGCCAACGCGATGTAGGCATGCAGCGCTCGTTAAAGCTAAGACATCGCGCACCACAAGCAGCCGCCAGCTTTTACTTCATTAAACGTTTAGTGCCACTTACGCTTAAAGTTGTGTAAAGCGCTTTTGGCTTGCCAATGGGATGAGTTGAGTGCGCAGCCACTGACAGCGCGCTGCGTTACGGCTGAATGCTTGGCGCGCTGAAGCATATCAGCAGTCGCGCACGCGGTGCCCACGCTTGTTGCAGCAAATGTTGCGCGCTAAATTTCCGCTTGTATAGTTTCCCAAACAGTTACACTCCTTCTGCACGCGCCGTCTTTCGTTTCAAACTTTACCAAGCACCGCTGCCACTCGTGTTACCAGCACGAGCTCTGTTGTTCTTGCCGCAGTGCTATCGCGCGTAAGGTAACATAATTTCTCGTGCAAATATTTAACATGATGGCGCAACATTTAAATGTGCCGCTTCCGTTGTTCGCTCTGGGGGCCTGTGGCGCCGGTGCGCAGCTCAGCGACACTCGCGAAACCACGCTGCATACACATTGTTTTTGTTGTTCTTGCCATGTTATTGTTGCAGGTAATCAAATTTTCTCAAGCGTAACAAAACAGTTATGCAAATATGTACGCGCCCCCAGAAAGAAAATAAAAAACAACAAACAAAAATACAAGCAGCCTGTGGTCGTGTGGCTGTGGCTGTAGCGCGCTGAGTATATTTGTGGCAAAACGACTTGTTGTACAGCAACAATGCGT